AAATGTACGCCGGCCAGGGGCGTCAAGGGGAGGTGGCCATGGGATGGACTGCACTGACCAGACACTTCCCAAACGAAGATTCCACGCGGAGACAACGTTACCGTTCCAGTCGAGATGCACAGAATGAATGGTTCCTCTTCCTGCAAAGTTTGTTTCAGCAAGCGATTCACGTTGTGCTGATTTGATTTGATAACTATATCATATTCAGTATTTTTTTCAAAATGATGCAACACATTCTCTGTGGGCATGACTTGATAGAGATCGAGATTAGTTTTATAAATTGCGATATTGACCTTCATTAAATTAATTTCGCCGCTTGAAAAGTACACGATCGTTGTAAAGAAGCAATAAAATAAACTTAAAAAAATCATATGTATTACTACCTTAAAGATTAGAAAGGGTTTCAATCTTCCTGGAGGAGGGAGCAAACAAAAAGACATACTTTCTTATTCCACTTCACTACATGAGTTTCCTTTAAATTATAAAATTCACAATGAGCAAATTTTGACGACCCGCCTTCTCTAAAGTATTTATTGTTTGGAAAATGAAAGACTGCATTTGATGACTGCTGTGCGTGTTTCGGTGTAACGCACCGCTGCTTCCAATAAAGAACGGGCCCTGTGTTCCGACATGACATAACTAGCAATCCCTGGTCTACGAGCGAGAGCCGCGGGACGGATTCTGTGGTTCGGAGTTGTGGACCGCTGCTCCGGCCATGGGGGAGGGGGGGGCAGCGGATGTCCTCGTGGCTTCCGGCGCCCGCCCTCGCCCCGCCCCCCGCCGCTTTTACGTAAACCACAGCGCACGGCTTCGGCTGCTGCAAGGTACAGCGGGCGCTTTCGTCAATGCCGGAATTAATCTGACGTCATTTAGAATAAGGGGGAAAAAAGAAGACGAAACGAATTCGGGAATGGACTGATCAGCTCAGGGTACAAATTCTTGATGATGTTTTAAATGTCAGAGTTTATTTTACAACGTTGAAATTGTGCTGCAAATGTCTGTTCCGGCGGAAATTATTTGCACTTCAGTTGAAAGCTGTGGACGCAACAAGGCGTGAAAGTTTCGCTTGCGTAATTAATTTTCAGCACACCCCATTACCGCTCGCTAACTACATTTTCGCTCGGACAAGAAGCGATGCGCTTTTGAAATGCTCATATTTCTTATTCACTCTCTTCGGTAATGTGATAATCGTGCTGACATATGTATCGTACGTAATATATCATAATGTGCCACAATGTAATGCATGTAGAATGATCCGAAAATTATGTCAAATATTAATAGTTTCATCCACCATCAAAACTCTCGATGCCTAATACGTTCATTTATCTTCAGTGATGTAGCGAGAAGTGCTCAGTCTCCTAAATTAGAGATATCACAGCGAAAACGGTTAAAACTCTCCCTGAGGGACGATCACTCAGTTTTACTCGAAGTAAATGGGTATTCATTACGATCTCTTCTTTTTCTTCTGGGGTACAGAAACTTGGTCCTTGAGTCGTATTGCATTGTTTGTATTAAAGAAGAACGCCGTGAATTTCACTTTCAGCTTGTAATTTCCCCGCGTAGCGGGCCCTTCCCATAACGGGCATTCCTGCGTTCCCCGT